CTTAATGTTTAATGAAGTGTTAGGAAATGGATTATTGGAAGTAATTTAAATGTTAATCGCCAAAGGAAACCGATAGGATTATTGTGTCACTTTGTAAATATATATAAACGTAATCGAATTAATTAAGTAAAGCACAAAGAATAAATATTACCTGTGAACTGGCTGACTAATAGAGTCGTAGAAATTTAAAGTCACTGCTAGTTTCTATAGTTTACATTAAAAATGAAGAGTGTCTTATTTGCTAGTGTTATTGCAATCATTTGGGTTTCCGGTAAGAATTTGTGATTAGTATAACTTGAGCAAAGTGACTCATTATTTAAATTATAATTTTAGGAGGAGCTTTAGAGTGTTATCATACTGTAGGAATTGACAAGCCTTTCAGAACAAATGATCCTACAATGAAATGTTCAAACAATCGAGATACATGCATTAAAGCATTAAGTTCTTTGAGTAAATATCGATTTATTAATACTCTCTGGATATAAATCAGTGAAAATCACTGTGAAACCGTGTATATTCACTAATTTGCAGTTATAAGACTATCACTGTTTGAATTAGTACTATTCGTATCACGGAAACAGTTAATATTCATTGGTTTATTTTCAGAGATTAAATATAAAAAAAAGGCGATAGTTCATTAAAATTACTGTAATTTTTTTCAGCAAATGGATCAAATATTGTATTACGCACTTGCACAGAAAATTTTAAATGTCTATTCAACTTTGATAATATAACTGACTATTTTTCCGTTAATACAATAGAAGAAGCTTTTGACTCTTTACATTATTGTCATGCCGATAATTGCAATGGAGCTCAATTAATTATAGCAGTATTTTCTCTTATAGTTTCAAGTCTTTTGATATCTATTTTCGGTTAATGATCAACTTTGTGGTATACCACTGAGAGAAGAGTTTAGTTATAATAACTACACGGATTTAGTTGAAAGATTTATCCAAGTATTTGGTAATTATTAATAAATGTTATTAATAAATACTAAACGCATAGTTAAAAAGCATAAGTATTATAAATTGAATGAACCAATTGATTTATGTGGGTATATTTAGTTCACATAATTAATTATTACAATTTCACTAACAATATGTAATTCTCATAGTCAACCAGAAGGCTCCAATATATAATTTATTTTCAGTAAATAAATATTTATTTCGTCGTATTCAAGTAGGGGATTTATTAATTATAACCAAATCTAAGTTGATATAAAGAAACTCTTTTCTCAGTGTATATGCTAACGAGCAAATACAGTGAAAACATGTAATATAAATCGCTATGTATATATAATATGTGACAATTGAATACATCTAAGTAATGATCTGCAAAATATAAAAAATTCTTCATTGTGTTTAATTTCTTGATTTCACTCATGGTAAGTACAATTTCATTATCAAGATCTTAACTATGTTTTCTACTAATAGACTGACACACATACGTACGTACACTACAAATCCGGAATAATTCAAGTGTTTGGTAATAAAACACGTAAGTGTTTATAATGTTGAACACCATAAGCAAACTATAGCATTTTAGTGAACACTTAGAAATGTTTAAAATTTGTCTATACAACTGCAACAGTTTGGTGGTAATGTTTAACGTTGTAAACACTTGAAGTGTTTAATTTCTAAATCCTTTAATTTGTAGTGTATGTACACACATATATATACATGCATTTTAAAGTTTCTTATATGCTTTTAAATCTCTTAAAACGTGAAAAAATGAGCAAATAATGAATTTCAACAATCGATCTCATTACGGTAATTTCCTAATGGGAAGTTAATGAAACGAGTTTATTAATATTTTTTTAATTATGTTCAGTGAATAATTTGTTTCTTATAATATGTGATTGCATGAAAAATTGCAATTCTTTTCTCGACTATGAAAATTCAGATAGTGCAATAAAAAGTGTAGACTCTAGAATATTGTGGTCATTATTATTGCAATGGTGCTTGATTATTTATCACTGTTTCGTCCATTTTATTTGTAAGTCATTTTATATCCATTTTAGTAAATTATTAACTCAATTGTGTGTATTATTTAGTAAATATGTCATGGAATTATTTCATGAACTTCTTTCTATATAATGTATAAAAATATAATGAATCTCAACTAATCTATTAAATGAATATCAACTAATTTTCTAAAAAATTTGTTATCAAGCCTACATTAGGCAGCGTTGACTGGAAATTGTAATGGTTTTTAAGTATACTTAATGAAAATCTGTTGATATTAATTTCAAACTATTGTATCATTTATTGCTTTTAATTTCTTATTGATTATATCGTCAGTCAAGTCTCAGACAGAGAATAGACATCACCTGTGAACTAATAACTTCCTAAAGTTATAAAAATTTTAAGTCACCGCTAGTCTCTATTAGTTTACATTAAAAATGAAGTGCATCTTATTTGCTAGTATTATTGCAATCATTTTTGCTTCTGGTAAGAATTTGTTATCGATTTAAGTTAGATAAAGTGATTCATTATTTAAATTATAATTTTAGGAGAAGCATTAAAGTGTTATCAATCAGCAGAAATCGATGGACCTTTTAACAAAAGTTCTATCATAGAATGTACAAACGACCTGGATACATGTGTCATAGCTAAAACGGCTGGGGGTAAATATCGATTTGTTGATTAATATAGATAAGATGAGTTTATTGAAATTGTTTCAATTATTTTCAGTGGGAGAATCGCTTTTGATAATACGCGATTGTACCGAAAATTTTGAAACTTTGTACGACTATGACGAATCAAATGATGTAATGGATGATTCTTTCATCTCTGTAGATCATTGTGATTTCGACTATTGCAATGATGCTCAATCATTTATCATTGCTTCTTCCATCTTATTTGCAAGTCTTTTTATATCTATTTTTGCAAATTATTAAGTCAATTGTATGTATTATCTAGTAAATATGTCACGAAATTATATAAGTAACTTTTATCTGTGTGATGTATGACAATCTAATAAATCTCATTAATCTAAATCGTATAAACATATGACATATTTCCTAAAGAAATTTTAGGCATTATGTAATAATTTAATGGCTTTTAAATAGACCAAACAAAAATCTGTTGATGTACATACAAAACTTTATCTTATCACCCATCAATTTTCGTTTCTGACTAATCATTTCGTCAGTCGAATGTAGAACAGAGAATAGATATCTGTAAACTACCTACCTACCAAAATTTGAAGTCATTAATGGTGTCTATTGTAGTAATTCAAAATGAAAAGTGTGTTATTTGCTAGTATTATTGCAACCATTTTCGTTTCTGGTAAGAATTTATTATTAGATTAACTTGACCAAGATGACTGATTATTCAAATTATAATTTTAGGAGAAGCTATAAAGTGTTATTATTCCATAGAAATTGATAAACCCTTCAACACTAGTGCTCGATTAATTCCATGTTTGCAAGAAGAAGATAAATGCATAAAAATAACAATAACGCTTGGTATGAGTTTTTTAAAAATAAAAATAGACAGTTTTTAGTAATTTTATTTAAAATCATTTTCAGGGAATAAAACAAATATTTTCGGACATTCTTGTTATAGTAATGAATTATCTTTGAGACGGGACATCGAGCAAATAAGGAGTAAAATGAAAATAAATAACAAAACTATCGATGTTTCAGATGAAATATTAAACTTTTGTAGTTATGATAGTTGTAACGAGGTTCCAACAATTAGAGCAGTATTTTCCGTAGTATTTCCAAGTTTTTTATTATCTATTTTTTCAAATTATTGAATTTATTGTACATATTGACTAAGAAATATAGTAGCAAAAATTTTAATTCCTATATTTTTATTTAAATAATATACGACCATTCATTAACTCATATTGACAAAAATAGAACTAATGTTTAAGATTTTTACTTATCATATGTGAAAATAGATTTTATTGAAAAAGATTGACTCAATGTTGAATTTTACTCATTGTGAGTACAATTCTTATCACATGGGAAAATATATTTACCACTTTCAACATATACACACATTCTATGATTCAGAAAAAATTTTTTGTCAATGTACTCACAAAATTCTTATCATTCATCACTTTTTATTTTTAACTGATCATTTCATCAGTCTAGTGTAGCACAGAAAATAGATATTACTTACGAACTGCCTAAACAAGTTATATTTAACAATTAATATTTTTACGGTAAATTTAAAAAATGAAGTGTCTCCTATTTGGTACAATCATAGTGCTTATTATCGTTTCAGGTAAGAATCCACGATTAATCTAACTTGAACAAATCGATTCGTGATTTAAATAATAATTTTAGGAGATGCTTTGAACTGTTATCATTGTATAGAAGTTGATAAACCTTTCAACGCTAGTTCTCTATCAATGCCATGTTCGTTCCAAAATGATTTATGTGCCAAAATAACAAATAAACTGAGTAACTATCAGATTTATAAAAAATTAAAACGAAACTTCCTCTGTTAAATTCAGTTTAATCATTTCTAGAAAATGGGACGAAAATTGTCATACGTGGTTGCTATAAACATTTAATTATTAGTCCTTTCAATCTGTTATGGACAATGGAACCAATTGGAATATCCTCATTTAGGAATGAAGACTTAGACTTTTCATGTGATCATTTTTGTGACACTAATAATTGCAATGGTGCTCAATCCATTGTTGCAGTATTTTCCATCATGTTTTCTAGCCTTTTGTTGTCAGTTTTTGCTAGTTATTAATTTAAGTAAATAGCACTGCATAAAATTTTTTATTTAATATAAAATAGTTGTTAAATACAATATATCACTTATTCCAACTGTATTTGGAGAAATTTTCAATCATAATCAATTTCATTATGTTATTATTGTATGTTATAGAGTCAAAAGTAGATTAATTAAGATTTACTTTAGAGTAGTAAAATGAATTCTTGTCACATGACTCAGCCGAATTTATTTGATAGTGAAAAAATGAAACTTTATCTTATCATTTGTTACTGATCATTTCATTAGTCTAGTATAGCACAGAGAATAGACATTACCTGTGAATTCCCTAGTCAAGTTATATTTTCAAATTAATAATTTTTCTTATAAATTCGAAAGATGAAGTGTCTTCTATTCAGTGGAATTATTGTGCTGCTGGTTATTTCAGGTAAGAATTAAATAGACAAAAATTAAATTCAAGATTATAATTCTTAAATTGTTCTTTCAGGAGAAACGTTGAAATGTTACTATTCTCTAGGAATTGATAATCCTTTTAACGGAAGTGATTCTATAATAACATGTTCAAAAGGATTAAATATGTGTTTTCAATCATCCACCTCTTTGTGTTAGTATGAAATTTTTTAAATAAAAGTTAATAATAAAAAATTATTCATTCAATTTATTTTAAATATTTGTAGCAAATGGATCAGCTGTAGATTTACGTACTTGTGTCACAGCTTCTGAAGTTACCACTCCTGAATTTAATGATTTAATCAAGAAATTACCAGCAGATGTAAAACTAATGGATAATTACATTCGAATTCATTGTAGTACTGATTACTGTAATGGTGCTAATTCGATTCTTGCAGGACTTTCAATAGTATTTGCTAGTCTTTGTATATTTATATTCTAAAGTAATTAATTCATTAAACATATAAAATGATAAATATTATTTCAATCATATTATAAATCTTAATGGTATTAAATATGGCTGAATATTGAATAAATAATAAAAGACATTATTGGTGGAATTATTTTAGATGTGTAGTGAATGCTGACGTTTTTTTTTTATAAGTAATATAAATGAGTAAAAACATAATTCAATTACTGAAGAAAATGTACAATAAGTTACATCACTGTTGATTTATTGTTTTTGAACTGTTATTTAATTAAATCTCCTGCTTCTTCATACAAACGAATCGAATCATCTTATGTCACATTTGCGGAATAAACTGTAATTTTTATTTGCTACTCGTAAGCTGAATACTTGACTTATAATTGAAAAAAAATGTCCTTTCAATGTGTACATGATACTTTATCTAATCGTTCATTTCTTATCATATACTATTAATTATTAGACTAACTCAGTATAATACATGATAAACATTAATTGTGAATTAACTTCCTGGGAAAATTATTTCAATTTGGAATTATCAGTATTCTTTACTGTTAAATTAAAAAAAAGAAAATTGTGTACTATTTGCTGGAAGTATAGCACTTATTTTCATTTGTGGTGAAACATTACAACTGATTAAAATTCGATGCAATTATTAATTGTTTACATTATCATTTTAGGAGGATATTTAAACTGTTATTATTTCTTAAGTATGGATAAACCTTTTAACACCAGTGATCAATCAATTGAATGCTTGCAAAAATCAGATCAATGTATCAAAGTCTCCTCTGACGTCAGTAAGAACTATTTTTTTTGTTATTTTTCTATTAAAATTGTTCATTAAATTAATTTTAATTATTTTTGGTGAATAGGACATCTTTGGTATACCGTTCTTGTGCCGAAAATGCCTTATCATTTATAAAAGCTATGGGTATATTTGTAGAGAACAAAACTCTTAGTTATTTGTATTGGGATTTCTGTGATACGGACAATTGCAATGGCGATTAATCGATGATTATAATTTTTTCGACCATACTTAAAAAAAATTAAATTATAATTAAATGAATTATGTTATCATGTGTATTTATATGACTATTAAACATCCCGTATGAAAAAATTTCGTTCCCCAAATGTTCCCCAGTAGAGAAGTTCCGCGACGTTTCCCCCGTGGAACGTAAAATAATGGATTTTTTTTATGTTTGACCGGATTCCGCATTTCTACGTTTCAAGACGAAGAAAATGAGTGGTCAAACTTGAAAATCGGATAACTTTGATTTTTCGACCCCAAAAAATGGCAAGTGGTACCCCTTTCCATCTTTTTAGGCCAAAAAATAAAGGTACTCCGATTTTGATGATTGAGGGCTCATTCTCTTCGTCTTGATGCGTAGAAATGCGGAATCGGGGCACAGCCCGAAAAAGTTCACTTTAACACCCTAAAAAAGGGGTAAAACTGGATACAAATTACGAATAATCATCCCCTTGACTTTAAACCCCTATAACTCATGAACGGACGGTCCAATAACTGTTTTTAGGGATGTTTTGAAAACCTCAAAATCTAAGCTAAATATGCATATCTATGAAAATCATTTTTTGATGTCTTGTGTAAGAGTTTTGAAGATCCAAAGTCAGAGTAAGGGTCAAAAACCATCTTTTCTTTGACTTTGGATCTTCATAACGCGCTGAGAAATTATCAGACGATGATTTTTAAGAGGTATTTTGAAACTCCAGAATCTAAGCTAAAGATACATATCCACGAAAAGCGTTTAAAAAATTATTTTCATCCTAAAAATTACCAAAATAGTTGGCAAACTCCTAAAAAAATGTGATTTTTTTTTATATTTTAGCGATTTTAAGGGTGAAAGAAATTTTTTAAATACTTTTCATAGATACGCATATTTAGCTTAGATTTTGAGGTTTTCAAAACATCCCTAAAAACAGTTATTGGACCGTCCGTTCATGAGTTATAGGGGTTTAAAGTCAAGGGGATGATTATTCGTAATTTGTATCCAGTTTTACCCCTTTTTGAGGGTGTTAAAGTGAACTTTTTCGGGCTGTGCCCCGATTCCGCATTTCTACGCATCAAGACGAAGAGAATGAGCCCTCAATCATCAAAATCGGAGTACCTTTATTTTTTGGCCTAAAAAAATGGAAAGGGGGACCACTTGCCATTTTTTGGGGTCGAAAAATCAAAGTTATCCGATTTTCAAGTTTGACCACTTATTTTCTTCGTCTTGAAACGTAGAAATGCGGAATCTGGTCAATCATATAAAAATCCATTATCTCACTTCTAAAATGGGGTAAAACGGGAACTTGCTTCAATTTTAGTATAAATTATGGTCCAATCATGATCTTAACTATATCGACTTTGTCCCTTTCTTTCAGATCTTTGATATAAGCCCGCGATCAACTCCATATCATCGTTAGCATAGAAGTTATGCACATTTTCATGTTTTACAGTTTTTTGCCAATTTATCATTATTTTATTAATTTCATTTGTATATAGTTTTTGCAAGTAGAAAACATCTAAAGTACGTTTGGTGTAGAGAGAAAAAATTGATTGTTTAACATTTACTTAACTCTAGTAAACAAAATATTTATCTTGTAATTTATAAGAAATTTCATCTCAATGAGCATACGATACAGTATCTATTCACTATCGCTTATCACTTATTAGTGACCATCAGAGTAGTATACTACAACACTGAGGATACGCGTCAATTGTTAATTAACTCTCTGGTAAAATTATTTTAGTTTGGAATTATCAGTAATCTTTACTGTCGAAATAAAAAAATGAAGTGTGTACTATTTGCTGGAATTATAGCATCTATTTTCATTTTTGGTAAGACATTGCAACTGATAAAAATTAAATACAGTTATTTATTATTAAAATTATTCTTTTAGGAGAAGCTCTGGAATGTTATCATACTCATGTAATTAATAAAGTTTACCCAATTGATCAATCAATTGAATGCTTGCAACAATCGGATCAATGTGTCAAAGTATCATCTGGCTTCAGTAAGGATTATTTTTTTTTTGTTATTAAAAAACGATTTTATTTTTTATTTTTCTATTAAAATTATTCATTAAATTTATTTTAATTATTTTTAGTAAATGGGACATCTTTGTTATTCCGTTCTTGTACCGAAAATGCCTTATCATTTATAATAGCTATAAGTGTGTTCGTGGAAAATAAGACTCTTAGTTATATGAATCTGGATTTTTGTGATACTGACAATTGCAATAGTGCTCAATCAATTTATGCAATTCTTTCGACCATACTTACAAGTCTTTTTGTATCTATTTTCACAAGTTATTAACTTTTTAAAACTGTTAGCAAAGAAATATAGTAAAAATTATACTATAAATTACCATTTGTATTCTATAAAAATGAAGGAGTGGAAATTATTGCGAAATAGTAATAAGACTACAACTTGAAACAGCATTATTATAATTATAGAATCAGTGAATACTTATTACTTTACACCCGCTTGCAATAATTTTCATGATGTTATTTTAAAAGAGTATCATGTAGAAAATAGAATCAATTCATTAAATTATAGTTAATATTCTTGAGTTTAATGCTCGAATTAATTGTTATGAAAAAAGTATATTTACTATCAATAAAGTATATTTTCTCCTAGCCATAAATAATAAATGAATCAATTCTAGAAAATAAACTATTTTATCTAGTAAATAATAATATAGATAAAAAATATTTTAATCGTCTAAAAAATTTTTTATTATAACTTCAATAGATTAAAATATAGAATATTTTGTTGATTAATACCAAAAATATTGAAGTTTGTAATATTTAAAAATTTTTATTGCAAAAAGTTACAACGATAATCACCTCAAATATCATTGTATTTGCTCTAGTTCCAGTGAAGTGTTTATTCTATCTATTTCCTGTTCATGAAAATAAAGATAAAATGTAAATCCAATGAGATAAAACGAAAAATTTTGTATCACTACTTGCTGAATAACATTACACAATATCTATGATAGATATAAAACATTTGCCTATTTTTATATTTATTCATCCATCAAGAAATGTAATCAATTATTTTTATTTTACAAATGTGGTCAATATAAATGTGCAGTTTATGATGTGTTTGATTTTTTCCCTAACAACTGTATCAAAATAAAGATGTATTCACGTGAATGGAGCCATGTATCACATGTTTTAAGATTGCTCCACTTTCACATCATTTAAAAGCAATTAAGTTGAAATATTTTCTATTCTAGGCCACGTGCACCCCAAATGTTCCTAGGGATCGATACAATTTTACGATCTTGAAAATTGCATCACAATGGTTTTAGCTACGTTGGATTCAATGATGATGGTACCGTAAAAATCCTACGATCCTTGACTCCAATAACTGCATGTGGACCAGACCGTGATCTAGTTCATCCTGTTTGATTTACTGCTTCTTCGGTTTTAAATATATAGGTAAGGGATTTAATCTCTATTTAAAATACTTTCATTCAATTCAAATGCATCTAGTACATTCTTTAGAAAATCCTCAATATGTAAAACACGGTTAGAAATTATTTTCAGATTCATTCAACCAACTCTAAATAATAAAAATGATTAAAAGAAATATTTATATCCTATTATTGGAATGCAAGGTTGTATAAAGACATTGATAAATCTTTTTTAAAAATAAAAAAAAAATTATTTACTGTAAAAACGTGGATTACAATTCAAAAGCAATGTTATTCAAGTGTATATATCACACAGCTATGCATCATCTTCAGGAAAAAGCGTGTATACAATAAGCTATATGTTAGTTGATATGAAAACTTTTTACATAACATTGAACGATAATAAAAGAAAATCATTGATGATAATTCTTTGATTGTCTAGAAATAGATTATTAAAAAACTGATAAAATCAATCCCATTAACGGATATAATTTTCTTTGAATTATTTTATTTTTATATCAATGAAATTCAGTAAAAGAAGGTTTTGAGAGATTCAGAAAGTACATAACCGACGGTAATAAATAATATGAGTCAAATAAATCACTTACCTTGAATTTTTTAACATAAACATTAAAAAAATAAGTGTGCTGATGATTATTAGCAAATGCTGATAAAATTTAACATACAAAGAATCATAAATTATTTTTAAGCGATTTATTAATTGTAGCATGTAATTTAATTAAAAAATTAGTGAACAATGAGTTGATTAAAATCAAGAAAATGCTTGTGTTGAATATTTATAAAATTATTTTATAATTATTGCAATTTTTTACAATGATTGATTAGTGCTGGTCTTGAATTACGGGGATGAAATAAATGAAGTTGTTTGGGATAACAATAGGTCAAGTTTTCATAAACAGATGGGAATAAATCTGTATTTTATGTACAGTTATGTGTATAGTATTTAAAATTAAATGACAAAAATGGAATGATAAGAGATAATAGTGATTCTGAAAATAAAAATTACAAGATAAGTAATAAGTGTGAGATTGAGTTGTTTTAGCTGAAGTAGTCACATCTTAAATCTGTCCGAATAGCCATTAGAGTATCATTAATCTTAATTTCTATCAGTGCATAAAATATTGATGATTCTGTCATGAGAGTTCATGATTTACAAATCAGTTTTTCATCGATTCATCAACTTGATCATGAAACAATACATTTACTTTGTGATAAAATCTGCGGTTTACAACTTAATTTATCAATCAGTGAAAAATTAGTCTCATTACATTTTCTTTTCTTCTTTAAATTACCAGTGTTTTGTTTACATTGATGATTTCATCTAGATTCATTGGAAGCAAATCATTAAGATCATCTGAGATCTTAGTTTTGAACGATTGCTTTGGAGCTTGGTCCATTAGATGATTTTTAATCTATTCTACTGATCGATAAAATCACTCGTCAGTTTTATTTTAAAAAATATACTTTTTTTTTAAATATTCCAATTCTTTTCTAGAGAAATTGATTCCTTTTAAACCATTTAAAACTTATGATTAGCTTTAAAGACATTTTTAATATTTAAAATCAATCACAAGAATTATTTAAAACAATATTGAAGATATTTGGGATTTTTAACAGAGATTAAGTTGATTTTTCTACTTTTAAAAAACATTTTTATATATGAGCATCATTCCCTATAGGACTTTTAGTCCTTCGGAATAAGACAACCGTCGGCATGAGTATTTTCGAATCGGTATTCACTGATTTTAGTTTGAGCAGAATCATTTAGCTTCATTTTTCAGATAAATATTTTTTTTTGCAAACTAAAATTATAGACAATAATTTTATTGATATTCATATGCAAAATGAATCAATTTTTAGTGCAAAAAAATCTCTTTTTATTCAGGACATAACATGGATAGAAATTTTTGTAGGAGAATGGAATAATTTATAGAGAATTTTTGAGAAATTTTTCTGGAGATAACAGTGTTTGATGAGTAGTTGGATGATATAGTATTTTTAATAATTTACTTACTTTAAAAAAGTCACAGATGGTATAATTGTGTTGATATTCACTCAAACGTCAAAAAACTTGATTACAATGTGCTATTTTTAATTCATTCATTACCACATTTAATCAAAATTATTTAAAAATGTTAACAAAAGGCTAATAATAATTGGATTATTTATTATTTCCAGGTGAAAATTACTAAATAAAATGGAAATCTATTACCAAAGATTATTAAGATAGCCTGCGGCCTAGGATTAAACTCCGATCAACCAAACTACATTCTTCAGCCACTGAACTTGACAATTTAGGAACCAAACAGTATTTCCAGCGAATACTCAACAAAATAAAGTGAAAAATATGCCGATTTCAGGGGGAGTTTTAGCGTTGCAAAAATACGTCTGGACTGATGAAAAAATCGATCTGGAATAAAGAAGATTAGTTCATGATTTTGTCATAAAGGTGGCAGCACCTCGCCACGATTTTCCAGTAATCATCGATGGCTGCATTTTTAGTGTTAGATTAAACTAATGCGACGGTTTCGATGAAATATCGGCGAACGAATGGGAAAACGTGGTGAGTGTAGCAGGGGCGTGCCGTACCCTGGAAACGGCGTGCCCTGGACCGATGTTGGGACGTGGACTAAGTGCTGGGTGGAGTCCTATTTAGACACTACCTACTGGTTGAAACCATCATCCAGAATGGTGTTAGAGTCCTTGTAAATCTAATGGCCGCCACAATGTTGTAGAACGGCGCCAGGTTTGAAATTCTCATTCACTCCCTCGTTCCACAAAAGCCTCTTGAAGTGACATTTTGTCTAAAAAATTTCCATACTCCAAAATAACGTTGCATATTAGATTACTTTGGTATCGTTAGCTGACAGTAACGTTTGCATGAATAATAAATTTTAAGACAGAGGGTTAATATTCTGATGTACCCATCTATTTAAATATCAATCTATCTCATATTATCTCCAGAACATCAGGTACCAAAGATTATTTCTTTATTCCAACATATCTCATCCAATCCAACTTTGATTTCATTATTAGACAAATATAACTTCATCAATCCTCAAAGTTTTAATTGTTAAATCATCCAAATGAATTGATAATTTTTTTTTTTTTTTTTGATTTCTGTTTTTAATTTTTTTAATTTGATCTTGGTTTTATGTATAAATTGGAGCAAAGGAAAGACACTGAAATAATTAAAAACAGAAAGGATTAGAGACTAGAGGAAGAATAGCAGTCGACACCTATCCCTCGAGAATAACCCACCAAGTATCCTCAAAACATTGAGTTAATTGGATGAGTACTTTGTTCCCCTTTTAGAGCTTGCAAACGTATTACCCTTTACAAGCTTTTGCATTTAGCCCTCTTTCGTCATTTGCTGGGCAGTACCCAGCCCTTGGAGATGTACATGACAAATATCTAGGACTGAACTTTGCTTTTTCAACTTCAAATAAATTCATTTTGTAATATTTCAGAGAATAAATCATCGAGTATTGATTCAGAAAATTAAATTTAACTACTTTGACACTACATTTTATTTTCTCTTTTTAATATTAAACCAACAAAACTCAATTTTTTCTATTAAATTTTAATCCAAAGGAATCATTAATGGCTGTGAAATTAAAAAAAAATTTAATTTAAATCGTGAGTTAGGAAAAAAGCTTAATAAAAATTATTAATAAATCAATAAGTTACGTTAGAGGGTATTAATAGAATAAATGCTGATTTTTTTTACAATTTTAATCCAAGATCCAAGAATAAAAATAAAAAACATTTATTCTGGAATGACAACACCAATAGGAAAGACTGTTTTTTTTTTAAATTAAGGGAGTTTTGAAGTTTGTTCCGGAAGGGGCGAGGACTTAACAGATGGATAGCGTTTGTTGATTAATGTCTCGGTTCATGTTACGTATCTAGAAATCCAATCATGGAATATAATCTCGGATATATATATATATATATATATACGTGTAAAACAATAGTACATTGTAACAAAACAATGACATTTAAAAATGATATAAAATAACCAACAATCATACCAACTTATTGTGCATGAAAAACATTTTTGTTAATAACTTTTTTATAACAATAATCTTTATCATCATCATAATAAATCATTTGACACTTGAACAACAAATTCTACAATCAGTTAGTAATGAGTTTGCAATGCACAGCACTAGCCACAGTGGATAAAATCAGAGAAAGAG